TGTTGTAAATCACATAATGCTTATCTGTGCATGGGTCTCTAGTGCAATAGTATAAAAAATAACAACTTGTGTGCTGTGAAAAAAAGAAAGATTCCATGACTATGTATTCCTTGATTGATACTTGTTGGATGTAAAGCAGGAAAAAATAGTAACTCCTGCATGAAGTACAGCATAGAATCTATTCAAACCAATATAATATATGACCCTTCACAGCTTAAAAAAATGACAGCGAAAGAAGTAGAGAATACCAGTGAAGATTTATTTCAAGATCACAAAGTCTTTGTTTCTTAATTGTTTCAGTCGACTTAAATACAATACAGAAGTCCAAGTTATTGTCTCAAAATGATCTTCATGATAACAGCTGGTGCCTGGGCAGTAGGGAGCAATTTATCATGCTCAAGTAAGATGTGAATTTTGCTGCTGTTGCTCATGCTGTCGTTGGAATCTTTGTAGCCAAATTTAGCATCGTTACCTCGACTGCCCCACAGCTTTTCTAAGCCAGCCTGCCAGTGAGGAAAAGGAAATGCTTTCACTTAGAGCCTTTCGAAATCTGGACAAAAGCTCACTTTCTGTTCTTCAGGTTTCCTATGTGTGACTTTAGCCTCGAGATGAGGACCTGCTCGCTCTGCACCCTCTCCCATCCCCCGTTTCCTGCCTGGGTTCATTAAATGCTGATCTGAGGTTGGCACACGTTCTTCTGATACAAAAGCAGTACTGTGTTCCAGGAATCATCAGAAAGTAGTACATTAGTATCTTCTACGTTCCCTTCATATATGTGTCCTCTCCCCATGCGCAGAAAGGACTTTTATCCCTTCTTCTTAAATATCTCTGTGTGTTTAATAAAAAGAAACAGTGAAGCAAAGCCTTGTCAAAAAAACCTCAGCTCATTTGGGAGCAATCTGGCTGCAGGCTATATTCTTTAATGCTAGTATCTGCAAATTGCTAATATTAAGCAAAGTGGAGTATAAGACATAATGACTTCACCAAATCATTGTCATCTCTCACACTTCCGTTTCAGTATCATGTTTCTCAGGAGACAATGGCTTACTTTCACCTGAGCAATGATGGTTGTTGTGATGAAATTAATGTGTTCCTATATAGAAGCCTGGATATTTTCCATTTTTAACAGTACAATTACTTACTTCTTCCCGCTCTATGAAGCTGCCATAAAAGATGAGAAAAATCACTGAGACACTGCCTTTCTTCTTCACTTAGAACCAAAGTTCTCAGTTCTGTAGAGGCAGTTAAAAATCATGCCAAGGAGTTAGGTAACCAGTCTTTGGGTTGCCTGTGGTATCTTCTGTTGTTATTTAAACTAATACTTTCTGTATCTTTCATACCTGTTTCCCACTTAATCATTGAAAGAGTAATACCAGTTCATTATTACCAGTGCTAAAAAGAGAATAAGCCAGGTAATAGCGATGAGACCGAACAAGCCATATGAGTGCAACATCTCATTGTTCCACATTATTCTGCAGAGTTCCATAAACAAAATAATTTTCCGGCTAGTCTTTCCTGAAGTCCACTCGAGTGAATCGCTCAAATGGGTATCAGCTGATTCCCATAGAGATCAATGACGTGGGCTTTGATGACCTTTAGAGAAAATAGCTGTGTCTTTTTGTTTTCTTTGCAGCAAAACACTCTCAAATAATATATTTTCCCTTTCTCCAAGTGGGAAACGATTATTAGTTATTCTGAGGTGCTAAATGTAGTAGAAGTGCAAAGATTTTCAGAGCAGAGGCTAGGCTAATGGTGACCAGTTAGACCAATATCAGATGAGTACTGGTTCTTAGCAGGATTTTAGATGAATAGCCCAACCTCACAGCCTGCTGCCATGAAAACATGCAGTCCTGTTTTCCTCATCTGCCCCACTCCCAGCCACCTGCTTGTTTTTCTCTTGTCTCTGGCTTTCTGGCTTCTTGGTCAGATGATTCACCCCATATCACTATATGATCTAACCCAGCAAACCCCACCTCATTCAGGACCTCCAGTGCTTTAGAGAGGCCCTGTTTCCTCAGGAAGGTGAAATACAGGACATACCCTGTATGGGGTAGAATTCATCTAGTTTTCAGTCCTGGACCCCAGTGGGATGCTTGGTGTACAGAAAGTTAGCTCTGTGCATTAATTATCTTGCTGAGTCAGTGTCTTGGTTTATGATTGAATCACTGCATTAAGTAATAGACTGTATGACGGTCTTTTCAATGTGTTTATGGTATTAATGGAGCAAAAAAAGGTTAATTCTTGGGGGCTTGTATCTGCGTGAGGAGGCTACTCTGCAGCAAGCTGGTGAGTAAAGCTTTAGCCTGAGAACTTATTTGGCACTGGCTCCCCATGTGACACTTCTGGAGAATGCCTTTGGGTGATGAACATAGTCAACCTTGGCAGTGGATTAATTAAGCTAAGAAAAGGTGCTAATAATGCGCAGCGGAAATACTTACAGGGATGGCTAATGCAAAACAGTTATTTCAAGCATCATCCCCTTGCAAATACTAGGGCAACGATTTGATTTAAAAAAAAAGTTTAAAAAATTTATTTTCACTTTTTGCTCTCGTGTTTGCATTTCAGAGTTTAAAAGGTTAAAATAATTTCTAAATAATCTCATATATGTGCTTTGGGGCAGTCTGTGCGTATATGTATGTATACACATTTATGATTTTAATCCACAGCTCTGTCTTTGAAGCTTAAAATGCTTCATTTTGCCATGTATGTTATTACTGTCTTCATGTAGGAGTGCACTGAAGTGCATAGGATTGCTGTTGTGATCCATCCCAGTTGCATTCAACAACAATTCTTCTTCAGGTTTGGTGGGGCAGAATGGTACAGTGACCTGTAGAGTCACACACCAAGTCAATGCCTCAGCCACAGATGATTACTAAGAAACCACTTCCCAGTTCTGCATTTTTCCATTGTAGCAGACATCCTCAAACTAGTTAAATTTATATGTTTAGTGCACTGAACCCAGTATTCATATTGTCAGCGATCGAGTCCTAGCTGGTACCATGTTAGGAGCTGGCAGTGTCTCATGGGAGATGTTCAAGAAAGCCAGTGTTTGAAGCGAACGCTCTTCAAGCCTTGGCTTTGTTTTTTATCTGGAGAGGTTTATTTTATAATTTAAAATCCACTCTTCTCCATGCCTTTTCATTTTAAAATTGGTTATTTCCATTTTAAAATGATCTTCGTCTTTCACGCAAGGGCTGTCTTCTCAGATGGCTCATAAATTCAGAGATTGATATTAAAGTCTGCTTTCTCTGCTTCTAGGATTGATTCAGATGCAGAATATGATGGGAATGTGGTAAAAATAGAAAGGCAATGACTGAGCATGAAACATTTGTATAGATGTGGAGCATTTCTCCAGTGAGCGTTGCAGAGGATTTGTAGTACATTAGTCTGTCATGGGTGTGGAAATATTCTCCTAAATTTTAAGAGTATGGAGTAGTATAGATTAAAATAACCGTAAGTGGAAAAGGAGAGAGCACCTTTTCTTCCAAATGTCATTGTACCTGTGGTGAAAGTATTCAGTGTAATCTTGGCCCATTGTTATATTTTCGGTTTCATAGCGAATGGTATCTTTGACAGCAAACAAATCAGCTGTGCTCCATCACCAGAACCATTGGTCTTAATAATGATAGTAACTGATAAAAAGGAAATTTCTTGTTCATACTGTTGTTATGAAAGGTTTCCAGTGTTTTGCTCACCTGTGTATCTTGGTCTGAAATACACCCAAGGCACAGGGCACTCAGAGGGGAGCGCTGGACAGGAGCGATGTGGGAGGTGAGGAAGTCCAGTGCGCTGCGGGTTGCAGCAGTGCTCTGGCGGAGGGGCAGCCCCACTGCTCTCACATGAGCATCTCTAACGTCCCCATTCCCGAGGGAACAAGTGGGACAGCAGCAAAAATATGTGCGGTATGACGTGCTGGGCAGGGACTGGAATTAGAAGTGTAAGGATTGAGTTCCTGCTGCAAGTGACAAATGGTATAATGCTGAATTGAATGAAGATTTCATTTCTTTTGTTTTTCTGCTAACTCTTGCTCCTTCTTTGGGGCTGGGCTTAGGTCTGTGCACAGGAGAGAGAACTGATCCCTGTTTCCAGCCCTCTCTATTTTGAGATGTTGCTTAGCCAAGCCTCGGTTCCAGAAAGGGAAATATAAACAAATTCTGTTCCACAATTATCTTTCACTAGCTCTTAGCAGTCTGTTTGATGGAGGGTTTACTTAGAAGCACAGATAAATGAGTCCCTGAAACATTTTATCACGCTAAATATATCACAGAATAAAAAGCACACCAGAGCTTTGTCTCTGGCCTTCGTACGAAAAGACCGTGTCCATTTAGGAAACAAAGGTGGAATTTGCCCAAGGTGCATTAAATATAATCCTAGGTTTTCTGGGAATCAATCCTACTTCTTCATTTCAGAGCATATATTTTTCTGTGTGAATGTTCTTAGGACACTGTCATAAATTAGTTGTTTGGTGTGTTACTCAGAAAACATTGAAGTTCTGGGCCTAAAATTGCTGACCAAGAAATGTTCTGCCAGCAAGGCTTGTCATAATTTATATTTCTGAGAGAAATCAAAAGGCACCAGTGGAGGCTTCTCTCTATTTCTGTCATCAGACCATAATCCAGTTATAAGGTTCCAAGTTCCAAGCTGTGTTTCCATCCAAATTTTCACCTACAAGAGAGATAAAAATGACGTAGAATAAAAGTTGCATTCATCTCTTATTAGTACTTATGATATTAAAAATAATTAATGTGTAACTTTAGAGCTGAAATAGGATGAATAATACTGGGATCTGAAGCTTTTCAGCTCTCTTCCTCTCTTTCCTAGTCTCCAATTTAAATGGAGTTATATGAGGAGCAGCAGGATGGCTGGGGAGGATGGGCAGTAAAATCTCTGCATCCAAGCCTTCCTTGGATCATATGAGGTCCTCCAGGGAATGTCAGCAGTGTCTGACACAAAGCAGTAATTTGATTTGTAATCGTTTGTTTTCTTCTCTTCATTTCCAGCTTCAGAGCCCAATTTGAAGGTACGGTCACGGTTAAAACAAAAGGTGACAGAAAGGAGAAGCAGTCCTTTACTCAGGAGGAAGGATGGAAATGTTGTCAGTTCATTCAAGAAGCGACTCTTCGAGGTGACAGGTAATTAAGCATGGAGAAATTCTGTATCAGCTGTGACTGCTCACAGAATAGTGGTGGTATTTTGGAATTAAAACTGCTAAACAAAAAACTTGTCTTTTTTTTTCTGCTGCTGCTAAGAAAACCATACTGAATAAGTGGTTGTGTATAAATAGCTTGTAATCTACAGCTTTCTACCGCTTAACTAAGAAGTCATTGTCAATTTGAAAGCCATACTTTCAAACCAACTTGGAAACCTGTACTTTACAACAGCAAGTACAAGAACAAATAAGTGGAAGACTGTTGGTGGCAAGGGACATCAAAGGAGAAAACAAGAATAGTCTCCTCCCTTAATTTGTGTCTTCTGTACGTGGACAAGATTTTGGGTCTTGCATCTCCCACTTCCCATCCCCCATGGAAAATGCAGATGCTAATAGCAAACGCAAAAACACCTATCTGGTATTACTTAGGTTAATCAGGGACATTTTGGAGTCTTGTGTCTGGCCCTGTCCCTCTGGTTTCTCTTGTTTGAAAATGTCAAGATCAGTTGGTTTTGGTATATGGGCTCACTAAGCTATTTTTTGAGAAGAAAGGGTTGAAACATTTAAATATTCAGGGGCATGTTGTTGGTCATAGCAGCTCGTAAGTATTCTTAGTAATTGAAAGGGAACTTTTAGCATGTAAAAACAGATAATTATGCATATAAAAGCAGAAAAAAAGCAAAGTAAAAATTTGTCATCAAGTAGTATTTGTTTTCAATATTTTTGCTGGTCTTGAACTGAAGAAGTGCTAAGGCTTTCTTTCACATGTGTGGTATTGCAGAGTGGTATATTTTGTCACATTAATTATTCTGCAGAATTGCACCTGAGTTCCCAAACAGCCTAAAATCTTCTCATTTTTAGTCATTAGGATTAGTATGCTGCTAAGGCCTTATCTGTTGCTATGATAGAAAAAAAAGCATGTACAATATTTGGCCTCAATCTCATGTTTCTTGCTTTGACTTTGCATCAATATTTGATAACTTCATGGTTTTTTCAAGTGATGTTACAACCAGGCCATACATTGATGCAACCAACTGTTACTAGTCTGTCACACTTGTATCTGAATTCGCTCGGTATATCAGAATTATGTCACACCAAGATGGATATATAACACAACATGAAAATTCATGTCAGTGTCCTCACACATGCAATTCTTGTGACAAATTTTCACAGTATGTCATGTGTAAAACTGGGACTCGGATGTGAATGTAAGTATGAAAGTAACTAAATAAGGTAATTTCCCTGTAAATAATTTCCAAATTGGAATTTTTTACAGCTAATTTATTGTTTGCATTTGATGAAGCTCTTATGAGATTCTTGATCTCCACTTCCGTAGTTTTAGCTGATTTCTTTATATTTTGCAAGCTCACAGGTAAGGTATAAAGTGAAATACTTATCCCAGGAATTTTCTTCTGCAGCCAATGAAAGAGCAGAAACCTGAAAATAAATGTGTTATCTTCCTAGCTCTGAATAATTCAGAGGCTTACAGATTGCTATTATAATTATTAATATCAGCTGTATGACATATTATAATTATTAATGTCAGCTGTATGACATTTTACACATTTCGTAGTCGAAACTTCCCTGATCAAACATTTCTGGCTGAAGCCTTTTTCTCCTTTTAACTGAAAGTAGCCCTACATTTAAATGCCTATTTTTAAAAAAAGTGCTACTGTGAAAACTGGTGAGAATCTGATGCAAGAACTTTACATGGCCAGTTAGCATGGCTGGGTACGGATTCACTTCATTAAATCGAAGACAGTTCTAGTAGGAGAGAGCAACAGAGCTGTTCCAAGAAACAGCTTGGAAATCTCCTGGTAATTTCAAAGTGAGGATGTATTTTTGCCTGTGAACTTAGACAGAAAGAGTGAAGCAGCAAAGAAGTGACCGTAGAATAGTTACTGCCACATTTAGATATTAATTACTTTAACTTCTTGAGTTCTTTATTTTGAAAGCTGTCACATGAAACAGGCTTACCTCTACTAATGCTGCGCTCTTCCATCTTTAATCTTGTTAACTGTTTCCATTGCATAAATGTAAGGTGTATTGTTGTAGGATTAGTATAACTCTATACAACAACACACAATGAGATCATCCTCTTCCCCTTTATCTTAGACGGAACTCAGGAAATTTTAAATCAAGATAACATACAGCCTTTCAAATGCTATTTTAAGATTTTTGTATGGTGTAAATACTTCTTCAAATTTGTGCCAAAGAGGTAGTGAAAGTGGTGTATATTACTTGTGTATATAATGATTAGCCCGCAACGGGCTCATCCCCTCTAAACAGAAGGGAGATGGCAGTAGGCCTCGTGAATTGATGACATGTTATCATGACCTTTGCAAGCCTGCTATCTCCGTCATTTTGATCTCTTACAGAGGCAGGACTTTTTGCAATTTAAAAGAGAAGACTTTCTTTTCTTTTTACTCATTACAAGTTCTATGTCTGTACCTCTGCCTGATACTGAGTATTGTACTATCCTTGTGGGAAAAAAAAATAGTAAATTCTTCCTTTGTGAAGCAGATGGATCAGAAGGGGAAAGACCATGAGTATCTTTCCTTGTTAGCACTGCAAAAAGATAATGAAAAGAAATGGAGGATGAATTAAAAATCTTTGACATGAGTAGACAGCATATCTGATAGATACTTTTCAACAGCAAAAAAACCCTGTGCCATAAAAAGTATACAATTAATCAAGATGATGTGTTCCGTTCCAGTGTGAAATTCACGTATGCTTAATCTGTTTTTCAGAATCCTCAGTCAGTAGCAGCTCCCCTGGATCAGGTCCCAGTTCCCCAAGCAATGGTCCAACCAGCAGTGTAACGGAGAATGAAACCTCAGTTTTGCCAAGTAGCATTCAAGCTGAGGTAAAATTCTTTCTCTTTAATGGGTAATAATTCCTCAAATTTCTAGACTGGAGAGATTTGAAACTTCAATTTGATCATACTGACAAGCAGAGTGGTTGCAGAAGATCTAATTGTTAGGAATACCAGGCCACTGCAGGCTGACGTCAGAGTATGTCATATATGAGATACATCTTCATATATGAAATGCATGTTCAGGAGACTCTGTGGTAACAAAAGTCCAAACAAAAGCAGCAGTAATGCTACTGGAAGAGTGGGAGGGAGCTATGGAAGGAACTTGGAAGCCTCTGTGTTGCAGAATATTACCTTCTGTGATAACCTGAAGAGGTGCACAGTGCTGAACGCTGATGATCTTTGACATGTAAATGAGTGATTCAGGCATTGGTGACTCTAACACTTACGAGTTCAGATGGCTGCTGAAGTAGATCTGTTTAATTACGGTACAGGAGTTAGGTGACTAAATCCTTTTTTACATCTGCCATTTATTTTACTGTACCTCAGTTCTCTTAACAGGGCAGTACTTACCAACATAACTGACATGCCAGGAGTCTTGGATACTTGTTTTGTAAAGTGAGATTGTACACGGAAGGAGTCTTAACTACTCCTTACTCCGTTTCGTACGTACGTGCCTATAACAACAGGAATGCAGATGGTAAATCAGTTGTGATGAACCTCATTTAGCACAGATGACGTGCCTAAGCCATGCTTTCGGTGGCAATATTGCAAAAGGACAACAAACCAATGCAACTAAGAGAGATTCAGATTCCACAATATTCTGTATCCAGTGCCTGTACTTACAGCAATTCCTGGTCTGGAAGTTTTCTATGAATTGTTGGTTTATACTGTTCATGTAAGAAAAATTGCATAAGAAAATGTGGTTTAACAGAGTTTCAGCTAATGGAGCTATTTCTCCAGGTCAGTGGCAGGACATGCACCTCAAAAAAACCTGGAATGGGCAGTTCAACCTCCAGCAGTGACTTTTCCCCATAATGAATTAATTGTGTGTGTGAACTATGATCCAGGGGGCAGGTGGGTGACCTCTGCACACTGATTAGTAGCCTCTCTCTGGCCCGTAACCAAAAAGGAAAAAAAATTGCATTGATGGCTAACATGTGGTCTTGCCTCATAGCCCCTCTGTATGTGATTGCAAAGAAATTTAAATGATGCAGAGTAAGATCCATCATTAGGATTAGATCAGATCCTAGTTCAGTAGAATTAAATGCTACGTTTCAATATTGGGAATGTTTTAGATGAAAGATTGTAATATGTGGATGTTAGTGCTGTATTGAACAGGAAATCTTGTCCAAATGGATCTTGTATTGACTTGAGGATACTACAAAATGCAAAGGGAACAGTCTCACAGACTGATATACGGTGCTTGGTACTTTGCATGTTACAGTTTCTGGACACTAGCTCACAGTGTTGAACCACCATTACACATGCATACAATGTGGTCAGGCTGGCAGTCTCTCTCTGGGGAGATTTGGAAAGGTAGTAGCAAGAACCAGCAGAGTTATATTCTGTTTATTAATAGAACACCACATTGCATGTCATTTGCCTTTACTGTGCCAGACGTCAGAAGTTGTAGCCCCGCCATACCCATCACAGATGCCCAAATGAGCCTAAAAAGTTCCTTTAGAAGTTGGACTCTGCGTGCTGGAGTTGGTCACTTAGCTCACTGGAAGTGTGCTAAGAAGCTGAAACTACTGACTTCCATTTCTGGATCCAGATGGGGATTTCTTTACCTCTCTGGTTACTTGACTGTTAATACTGTGGTCCTGTGGGCTGAAACATTTTTCCATAAATCTCAACTTCAGTGCATTGTGATTTCAGTGGGATTTTCTTTGGTAGTTTAACAGCAACCAAACCGCTGTGTATCTCTTTTCTAGTTTAGCGTTAGCTGCCAGCTCTCGAAGGCTATGTATCTAATCAATTTTTCATCACATACACAAAGTACAGAAGTTTCTAATAATAGGATAAGTGTTCCAAAATCAACCAAAATATCACTTGTTTTGCTGTAATCCCGCATGACTCACATTGCTGTTGTTTCATAATGGTTGTTGTGACATTTGCAGTAAGTGTTGTGCTCATATCTGAGTGGGTGGATAGCCGCAGTTTCATGGCAGCAAATAAAACACTTTTTGATGGGGGAAAACAGGTTGCTATGACAGAGAGCCATTCACCAGTAAAACATGAGTCAATACTGTAAATGATTACACTCTAGTGCATAAACAGAATTAGAGCATTATCGGTAATGAAACTGATTTTTAGAGTATTTTTGCCATATCCATTTGAATAGTGAGACTTTTAAGTGGTTTACCCTCCGGAGCAGACAGTCTGGTGGGTAGGTATTTACATTTTTCTGAATGAACAAAGGTGCACTGCAAATGCTACATTTTTGCAGATAATCTTTTACTATCACACTTCCCTTAATGATACTTTCAGTACCATTTCTTAAAACACTAGTCTCATTATATGAAACTTGGAAGTTACACTCAGGATTTTAATTGCACCTTATAAATAAAATGCTGTTTTTGTTAGGCCCAGTTGTCTCCAGTATCATCAAGGTTCACCGCAGTAGCTATTTGTCTCTGGTAGCATGACATACACTTTCAGGTCACCTGCTGTGCCGGGGCTGAATCTTACTTGCATGAGAAACGTATGCAGGATTGAGCCCATGGGCAGCACATCCCTTGAGTTCAGAGGGACAACCTGCCTTAGTCTTGTGCAGTGATTAATATTAGGCATCCACAGCCTGGTCAAAAGCCGTTGAATGCAATGGAAAGTTTCCAGTTGGTGTAAGCAGGCTTCAGATCATTTTCCTTCTCTTTCTTTTGTGCTTTGCAAGAGCAGCATTTCCTGGAATATTGCCTGGTTGTACAGGAGACGTATATGACATGCATGGCAGCTAAACACATACTTGATTTGTGCAACCCCATAGCACTGTGTTTCTAATACTCAGCTCTTTGAGGTGCTCTTTGCAAGTGGCTGTTGGCAAAATGTGTAGGTTTCTGACCAGCTGGTGAGTTTTGCTTCAAGGGTATGTGAAGAGAGTCTAATTAATTAGCAAAAAACCCACTCCAAAAGCCTTAAGAAATAAGAATGTAATTGTGAATATTCAAAGCTTTGACAACCTTACTGTAGCTTCACAATTTAAAACTACTAAAGCCAGACCGTTTCCTCTTCTCCTTCTAATGTGCATATAAACACGCACAGATGACGTAGGTGTTCCTGCTTCTCAGCAGGTCTCAGTACCAAAACAGAAGTATAAGAACTAGTTATAGTTACTTGGTGATCGTCATGTACTGTTACATTTAGTTATTGTAGTCTGTTTTAAGAAAGAGGGTAACTCTGTTGGTAGGGTATTTTAGGCATCAGGAGGCAGGATCCATGGACCCGGTGAGTAAGTACATAAAAGAGCAAGCAGGGCGGTTGCTTTTTGAGGTAATTTAGGTGCCAATCCAAACCATCAAGCCTGCTGTAGGAGGAGGACCATGGCTTAGCCGTTGTGCTGCCAGATGACACTAGTGGCAACTCCAGTAGGTGCCACCATTTTGAGATACGGTCAACTATGTAAAAAGAGAAGCCACAGCTGGGGTCATGCATTTGTGCCTCAGCATATGCAGGACCCTAATCTATGCAGGTGGGCTACTAAACTTACTTTGGGACATGAGGTTTAACTGACACTTAGGCTAACATCAACTGAATATATTTTTAAAAATCAGTTACCTCCCCAAATAAAAATTACTGATTATTAGCAGTATGAAAAATTGGATGGAAATGTTCTTATTAATAAATTACTGTTTTCAAAATTAAACTCCTGTGGTACATAACGTGATTGATTCAGCCTCATGAAACAATCATGCCTGTCCTTAATATGGGAATGTGCTTTACTGCTGGACACCTGGTCACTGTTATGTTTGTTACTTCAACTCTTAGAAAGTAATAGTGGCATACTGAAAACCAAAAATGAAATGTGCATTTCTGAAGTGGCTCTGTATAGATGCTGTGGTTGCTACAACTTTGATTATATTCTAGGAAGCAATTAGAACTGCTACAGTGTCCGTTTTCAGTTAAATCTTTGTAGTCTCCCTCAATAATATCTCCCTAATCTTGACATACTTGGTTTTATTCATGGTCAAAGGTGGATATTGTCAAGGCAAGACACTGTTAGCCAGGAATTAATGTAATATACAAGTGGAGCTTCTTTGTTTTGTATGCTATCTGTTGACATTCCCTGGGTACCAAAAGAAAATTGCAGAGATAGACTTCTGCTGTTATTGTCTTAGTGATAGGTCGTATCTCCAAACAAACTTTATGAGGAAGGTTATGTTTTGGAATAACATCCTGTGTTTTTGCGCTTAACCACTTTTCATTGATGGTCTGAAGTTGCATTGTATTAGCAGAAAGTATTTTACAGAGTTAATTGATATTCCAGGTTTGTCCAGGGGAAAATCTACAGCTCTCCACAACATGCTTGACAAGTTATTATATTTACTTTAGTCAAAGCCCGAGTGTGCAGTATCCCTCTTGGAGGTGGTCTATTATTGGAGTCCCATATGCTTTTTGTTTGGGAAGAAAGCGGTCACTGTGTCATACTGTTACACAGGGTATTCTTTTTCAAGGATGTTGTTCCCTTGGGGACCATATCATGCCAGAGTTCCTAAGTCTAATAAGACCTTTGTAGCTCTTATTGTGTTAAAGTTCTGGGAGGGAAGCAAGAGTTAAACAGAAAATGTAATTCAAGCAACTATACTAGACCACATGTTGAAAAACATGACTGTTAAAGCAGAGAGGCAAAGGCTTCAAAAAGATTCCTGTTGTGGTAATGTAACTTTTTATGTTTCTTCCCAATGAATCTAGAATGGAAAGGCAGAGGGTGATCTTTGTAGAATGTCTGGTTTTACTTGACAGTAATTAAAAATATATCAGCAATTCCGTATCCTGGAAAATTGTATTACAAGGCTTCAAAAGATGTGTTAAAGATTTTAACCTGAGGGGAATTAGGAAGGCAGTGAGGGGTATCCCACCATCAGAAAATGATAGGATGCTGGTTTTGTATATATGCATACATAGAGAGAGATGGTACTTTTTTTTTTTTGAAGGCAGATGTTGCAGTCTGCGTGCTTTCTACGCAAAATTCCCATATCAATGGAAGTAAATAATGTGCCTGAAACATCCCCATATCACAATCTGGGTAAGAAAATACATGGACTAGGTAGAAACCACATTTCATACCTTGCAACACACATTGTAATAACCTCAGTAAAGTAAAGGTCTAATATATCCATATTCATGACACCTTTATTTCAGCTAGAGGTACTCCTTAATTCATTGGCTAAGTTCTAACTGAGTTTCTGGTAGTGAAAGTGCAGTTGATGAGAAGAACTGATGTTGAGTTGATGAGAAGAGATGGTCCAGGAATCCTCAAGATTTCGGTTTTGCATGGGAATTTGATTTACTAACCCAGGAATAATCCCAGACATGTATCAGTTGTTTTCTTAAGAAAAGAAATATCAACATCTATTTCACAGGGACAGTACTTTTCCTTATCTGGAACCCCAATGGGATGCAAACCAATGCATGATACATTAACTGACTTTCAATGTAGCGGGAGAACAAGGATGAAGTAACCAAGATAAAAAGCTTGGAGATTATACTTCTGTTGTTTTCCCCTTTATTCCAGCATCTGGTTTCACAGCAACGCCCTTTGATACAGGATGAATCAGTGAACTTTTTGATTCTGTACACATCTCCATCTCTGCCCAACATTACCTTGGGGCTTCCAGCAGTACAACCTCAAATCAGTGTAAGTGACCAGTCTCAAGCCTTCCTGTCTGTTTTTACATCCAGAAAACCTGCTTTCTGCCTTTTCTTTTTTTTTTTTTTTTAGCATTTTGGAACATAAGCAATTCAGAGTAGGAACCAGATCTTTCTTTGCATTGGGCAGCGTCTGAACATTTAAGGGCACAACTTGAAAGCAATAATCATTCTTAATTGAAAATAAACAACTGCTAATGTGGAGCTTAGCTAAGTATGGGCCACATGCATTGCATTTATGTCTGCAAATCGGATAACAGATTTCAGACATGGTGAGAAGTATATGAGGAGATCATTAATATGAAAGTCAAATTATATGATCACCCCTACCTGGTGAGTGAAATTTTTTATGCGATTCCAGTAGCAACCTAAGCTGGGCTGGAGCATAGTAGGGGAAGAATCTGGTATTCCTGCAGCTAAGTTTGTTATTTGAGGAGTGTGCTATCAATCAGATGAATAAAATCGGTGAGATGTGAACAACGCTTAATATTTTAATGCCAAGTTATATGAATATGCCCTTTGTTCAGTCTGCAGCAATCACCTTTATTTAGAGCTAAGTGTTATATTAATATATGAAATGTATGTATGGAAATCCATGCTGATGGATGAGGATCTTTAGATCTCATCACTTGGTCTAAGTTATCATCACTTGGTCAAAGTTACAGTAACCCAGAGGTGAAATCTGAGGCTCAGTAAAATACCTGAAAATTTTGCCACAGGTCAAAACTTACCTCTTCTGATTTCCAGCAAAAGATGTAAAAATACGGAGATAAGTTATATGGTGGTTCTATACAACAGTGTATAAATTCTGAAGAAATTTTAGCAATTTAAATTTCTTAGAACGTGAATTGGTAGTTTCCATAAAAATAATAGGGGTGTAAGCACAGCTTTCCGTGGTGTTAAAAAAAGATAAATCTATACAATCCACTATGGTTTGTAGTAAGCACTACTTAATTCCAGTGCTAGATGTAGATTCAATTTAAAGTTTCATGTTATTTTATGGCTTTTTCAGTACATTTACTGTTCTCACCAATAATATATTGCTGCAATCCAACATTTTAACATCAGGTATAAAACTTCACAAAGAAAATTGTGTAAGCTTTAAATCAGTTCTCTAGAAGCCTTTCATGAGATATTTATAAGCAAATTATTGTTTTTAAGGGATGGAAAAATTGAACTGATCATGAAAAGTAGTGCTTACTTTTCCAGACGATATCAAAAATTTCTTAGCTATTTCACAAAAAAATGTAACTAGCTTCAAAGTAACTTTATGACATTAAAATGTAAATGAAAATATGTTTAATTTTCTCACTCAAATCATATGAGCTTTTGATGTGGCCAGCTAGCACCAAATATTACTTTTGGCATTAGAAAAAACAAAGGGATTGATTTATGCAAGTGATTTTTATTTCTGTTACCAGAATAAGCAGTTGCAAATTGAATGTAAAGTTTATTTTAGTGTTTGTTTTTCAGGAAAGGGTGATAGCAGAGTGTGAAGTAAGCATACACCCAAAAAATACTAGTGAAAACCTTGGTTGGAAATTAGATTATCGGAGATACTGGTTTTGCCTTGACATAACAGAATTGATTATCTGCAAGCCTCAACATGCTTATTTCTGTTAGGTTATTATTCTTGCTGTAAAAATTGTTATTCTACTTTAACTGCTGTTTTAAGAAAATTTTTTTTTTTAAACTAGACAGGAACAGAGAAATAGAAAGTACATTTGCAATGCTGAAGGGCCAAAACTTCCAACAGCTTTAAATCAATAACTGTGCAATCTATAAGGGCACTTCAAAATGCCACACACGTACAATAGCTCTTGATGAATCTATAGATGAGAGTTTAACTATATAAATTTACTTTGCAAAGGGTAAAACTTATATTTGTGCTGTCCTTCAGGGAGTCAGGGAGTGCTCCAGGAAAAGTAATAGCTTCCCACTACTACAGGTAATTATTTTGTTTTGCTGATTGGCTTGCTGTCTGATGGAAAGTTATGTGGAAAACCAAGCTTTGTCTATTCCAAACTCAGTGGAAACTATTTCCTCTGATCCCGTGTTTTCCTGTGCAGGAGGCTGTGGGAAGGTCTGTAGGAATTTTAAGGATAAGTCCTGTCTTTTCATTAATAATGTTCTAACTAGTAGTTCCTTATGCTTTGGCTTTTATTACTGATTTTTTTTGAGTGGTTTCATTACTTAGTTTCTCACAGTGTTCAATTTAACTGGCATGTTCTTCCTCCCTTTTCATCTCACAGTCAAAGTGTAAGATAGGGTTGTTAACCTTTCCATCTGTCTGTATTTAAAAAGTATGACATAAGACCATCTAATCGAGCGGGGATATAAATGGCCAGGTCTATGCAAAGAAGTTACCAGTGCTGTTGTTCTTTGACAGGCTTCATCGTCATTCAAAGAAAAGCAGAAGGGGGAGACCCAGTCGCTCAGACAAGGAGTGGCCTTGGCTGGACAGTATGGGGGGAACATTCCTCCGTCCTCAGCTCATCCTCACGTTGCTTTGGAGGGAAAGCCAAATAGCAGCCACCAAGCTCTCTTGCAGCATCTGTTACTGAAAGAACAAATGAGACAACAAAAACTTCTTGTGACTGGTAATGGTCAAGACTTCAACACAATAATAATTTAAGCTGTTTTTAATGACATTTGTATTACCATTAAACTAAGTGTGGTAATACAGATACCGTACATGCTAACCGTTGGGAAAAGTGTAAGGGTGGGAGAAAAAAGGACAGCATCTTTTGTTTCCTTTAGTGATTCTGCTCCAGCCTGTTAGCCTGGAAGAATTCAGTGATTACAGAAAAGAGAAAACAATTACTTCATCACGTTCTTTTGTAGCTGCTGAACTTCCCAGCGTGGTGAGGCACGTGGTACACGTCCCACCACATCAGTGCTGATGCAGAGTTCTGCAATATACACCCCTCTTCGTGCTGAAAGCTTTCTCTCCGATTAGAGCTATTAGTTTGTTGTTCTTCACACTGGAGTGAAATGTCCCTGTTTTGCAGGAGCGGTTCCTCTTCATCCACAGTCTCCTTTAGCAGCAAAGGAGAGAGTGTCACCTGGCATAAGAGCTGCCCACAAACTGCCTCGCCACAGGCCACTGAACCGAACCCAGTCAGCTCCTCTTCCTCAGAGTACTCTGGCCCAGCTGGTCATCCAGCAGCAACATCAACAATTTTTGGAGAAACAGAAACAGTACCAGCAGCAGATCCACGTGAATAAGGTGAGTTCCAGAAGTAGGGAATTTCCAATACATGTAAAGGTTGAGAACTAACACAGAATTTAGATCTTGGTGCCATGTGGTTGTGGACAGTAGACAGGTTCTTGCACGAGTATCGTATTTATGCATAGCTGATGTATACATTTATATAGAACTTCATTTTTAGCTTCTGAAATATGGTACAAAGGTAATGTGACTCGACGTCAGTGAGAATACAGTTCAAGAAAATAACGTTCAAAGCATCTTGCAGGTTAAAATTACAGATGGTTTCCTGTTGAGCGGTAAGGATGCCTTAAAGATTACTAGATTTCTATTCAGCTTTTTAATGTGCACTTTTGAGCTTCAGCAACATTCCATTCAGCTGCCTCTGAATTGTATTTTATGCTTTCTTATTGTGGACTAGTATGTGGAATAAATATATAACTCATTTAAACTCAATCAGCTGATTAAATTTATCTTTTCTGTGTAAGAAACTTGTTAAACATATGGAGAGATTTTTAAAATCAGCTTCTATCAAACCAACTTTTTGTCTGTAAATCAATTCGGAACATGAAAGTTTGTTATCTGTGAGGCGATATAAAATGACCATATAAGGAGAAAGAGAAGAATATGCTATTGCTAACATCAGATACAGAGTTGAATTGTGTCCCTCTTCCCCCCCCCCCCCCCAAAACAGGGGTTTCTCCTCCCAGAAGAGACCATCGATTAATAAACAAAGAGCAGCAGAATCTAATAGATTTATCAGGAGCTAATGCTTCTACAACAGATGTGATGCTGTTCCGTGCTCTAAAATAAAGATATGCACACAATTAAAATGCTTTTATCTAGAGAACATTTTCTGCACTTACTACATAGCTTTCCAGAAGTTGTTTGCTGGAGCTTCTCTAGTAATTCAAAGATATTAATCATGCATTTTTAGTTGTCTTCTTTTGTTTGAGGGTTACTTAATAAAAATACCTAAGAGGCAACGTCAAAGAAGAGAAGATGAAAAGTGGGCATTCAGCCCTTGTACCTAAGAGAAAAGGAAAAAAAATCAATCCACCTTACTGGGTGAGCTTCCCAGGGGGTACTGATTCTTTGGAATCTACTAAGAATTCCCAACAAAATTAGAAACAAACTTAGAGTTTAAGTACATAGTTTGTACAGTGGTGTGGTTATTAAATCTTGTCTTAATTAGGAAAAATGAAGACCAGAAAACTTCAAAGTTCAGAGCTGATCCTTGCAGGTTAACCCCTCTCAGCTTGGGTGTTTTGATTACTCAACTAGGACTCCAGTTGGCTTTTCTTTGAGTATGCATTCCATATGTTTAATCAAGATGGCATATGTATATCTTGTAGCCTCAGGTTTTGAAAATATTTCACCTGCCCTCAATTGTCTGAAAGAAAAGAATTTTTACCGGTGAAGTACTGAGTCTTTGTGCTGTTTGTGGATATTAACTACAAACTGTAGTTCATCCATTCCTTACAAACCAAAGCACCCCACTGACATGTTTTTGTTCGATCATATGGTTATTGACATAAGTTCTGCCATAGCATTTGAGGATACGTGCTGTGGCATATAGGTACATTTGTCCTGAATGTGAAAATTAAACTTGGGTCGCATAAACATATTCCTAGTCACACAGGGCTAGGAATGCATTGCACTTCACAACAGCTAGGCTGGATAAGGCAGTAAAAAGACTGCAGTTGGTTTGAGATAATGCTTGTTTCAGCAACATTTTTTTTCTGAGTTAAACTACAATGAAAGTATTTGTTGAGGAGACTCCCTCTCGTACTTGAAATACATGGTATTCTCTTCATTCTCAGATGGTTATTTGTGATAAAGAGACAAAACAATTCCTTCTTTTAAAATCTAGTTAACATAGCTTTTATTCTCTACAGTGTACGCTATACACATGTGCAGTTAGTAGGAATTTAAGGTTATCCTAGGACCTTTTACTGCCTTTCATCCATTACCTACTTCAGTTGCCCCAGTAGCTTCTCAGTCTCTTTTATCCCTGCTCCCAGAGCAGCTAGCCTTCATCAGGAGCGCAGCAACTCACCAGAGCAGCAAACACCTAAGGAGGAGTAGGATCGTGCTGCAGCCACAGAAGCAATGGGTTATCTGAGGATGCGGGTGGTTTATCAGACTTTACAGTCTGCGGCATCTAGGTTCTTCTACAGCACTGTTCTTAGAAGATCCATTCTGATCAATAGTACTGAAAAATCTCAGTGCTTTAATCATGGATCTGTGCTCTGCAAGTGTACAGAAAGTTAGGGGGCTTTCTTACATACTTAAAAGAATAAGCATGGTTTTTAAAAACTGGAATTTAAGGGTAGCCCATAGACAAGAGAGTACAAAAAGATCAAATCAGGGAGTGGCTTTTAAGTACTGAATTTAAAACTGTATTCTTTAACCCTTTAACTTAAAGGTTCAGATTGAACACCTGTGCCTGCATAAGGTTTTAGAACTCTGCTAGCATGGTGGAATATACTTTGTTCAATCTTAAAACTTGCCTCTATTTTCAGTTGAAGTTATTTGTTCATTATATGATTTGCATGGCTTTACAGTCAAACTCTGCCAAGCAGAGTTACTTGACCCTCAAAACAGTAGATATTTGAGACCATGTAGCAAAGCAACCCAATATCTTCTAATTTCTTAGAACAAGTCTGGGCATGTATCAAGTGAATACATACACTTGTTATTTTCCATTGTTCTGTCCCTTACTCTACTGTTCATAGGCTGTATAATGAAATCTGCACAGAGGTATAATTCCCTCCTTTTCAGTCATGAAAAATGTAGGGTTTTTTTAATAAGGGATACTCAAACATTCTCTTAAAAGTTTTCACGAGAAAGACCAGAACCATTTTAAGCTGACAAGGCTATGAAATGATCAAGAGCTTAGACCAAGTTAATACCTTCTTTTTCTTTTCCATTTCTATTTCCTTTTTAGCTTGTGTTTTGGACTTCAAGTACTTAAGGCTTTAATATATTTAAACTAAACCTAGTATTTGAATGTTTGCCCTGAACTGAGATGATGTGGCATGTGTCAGCACTTCCTGAAAACTGGTCTTGGTCAGATCTTTTTGGCAGACGTATAGGTGAATCTTGCTGTAACAAAAAAAAGAGGAAGAGAGCAAATTTCTCCCCACCCCATTGATCTTGTATTTATCTTGTATTAAAAAGCCATTTCTTTTCTTTGAGAGAACTGAGTATACTTCAGCAGCAAACCAGTGCTGCTGCGAGGGTGATAACAAGCAAAATCTAACATGGGTCAGAGGTAAAGAATTCCCCTGGATCATTTCCATTCTGAAAAGAAACAAATCATTGCCAAGAGGTGTGCCTCTGTCCTTAGTAACAAAGAGAAGATCTCCTATGGATTATTTCTGGTCAGCTGTCAGATGCCAGACTTTTGATGCGGGAAAGTGTATACGTCTCCACTGAAGTCGGACACTTAGACCTGCGGGATCTAGTACGCTGGCCTTCTGAAAACATTCTGCAAATGTTGATGTCCTCTCCAAAAGCAGGTAGAAACCCTTGTCCCAGCTTTCTGGGGAAAAAAATAATAATGAATGTGAAGTAACTTGAACTCCGCTTGTCTTAGGGAAGATCGGCTTTGCCATTGTCAGCTTTAATATACTTCTGTTCAAATGACAGCTTATTTCCTCATAAGGCCCTTTGATCACCATTGCAGATCTTCATTCTGCTCAATAAAAGGAGTCCAAAGTCTGAAACCCTCAGTTAAAATTCTTGTATTTGGGTACCAAAAGACCACTACTACAATAAAAACCTTAAAATCTTGTTGTTATTTGCATACCTCTGTATCTAGAAGGCTTTGACCCTGCCACTTGCAGAAAAAAGGGTGATTTTGATGAAACTAATGTAGGTGCAAAGCCCGTAGCATAGGTCTGCATTCAAGAAAAACCCAGAAATCATAATGTGAAAAGTATGTGAACAAAGCCCTCTGTCTTTAAAGGTTATTTTTGTCACTTATGATTAATAAAGGCCTGCCTTCACTGAAGCTAAACTAGCACTGTCTTCACTGGGACCAAAATTTTATTTGATCAGTCTGGGAACTCTAGATGTGTTCTTAAAATAATGTATTCATAGCATTTTGGCAGTTTGTTTTCAATGGTAAAATCTTCCTCTATACTGGAGTAGTAAAGGTTAAAATAATGGGGCAGTGGGTGTGTACAGTAAAGCGTGGGAGCAGTATGGATAATGTTAAAGCTTAGATAAGGAGTACCTAATTTCAGTTTTCATTGCAGGATGTTAATTGGTTTAAAGCACCTTTGTATAGGGAACCACTGACCAGGCAAGACTATGAGGTAAAAAATCCATAACAAAAAATACATAGGAAATGAAAATTTGTTAGTGCTTTGGATGGTGATCATAATCAACCAATGTCTGTTAATAAAAAATGAAAAATAATATGGAATTTTCTGTTGATTTGTTGATGGAAAAAATAGGAAGATTATTTGTTGTCAGTAGGAATATTGAAAAGGTACAGCTGACACCAGATTAATCATTCACTTTTCTGAATGATATTTAGTGAAATACAGAAGCTGGAGTAAATGAATCTAGTTTCATTAAACATATTACAACTGAGGTTTTGGCTTTCCAGCTTACGCATCTGACTAGCATCTTCTGAAGGTGAGAGGTAGCACATTTCATCTTTCATATTTTTCATATAGCAGGGGATTATTTGGACAAAACTATAGCAACAGTTGACTGTGTTTGAACTGAAAAATGCCCAGAGCATATTCTCCTTTATTGAGAACTAATGTTTAAGCCATAATGAGAAGAATGATTTTGAAAGATAAATACATCCCTTAGAAACACTGTACTACATGAGTAACAGAGACAACAGTAGGCAGGTGCCAAGTTGCTTCAGTACAGCTAACAACATACATAGCTGGCCAAAGTAATCTGACAGCCATGGGAGAGAAGGAGAAAAAGCGTGTTCCATAAGTGTATACATGAGTTCTTAGAAACAGATGCCATGTATTTAAAATGAAGAGTTAATTAAGGAAGGAAATGTATGGGGTGGCTGTTGCAGGATTTTGTGCTTGGTCTCCTTGTAAAGACATTTTATTTAAAAGATTGTATTTTACAAGAGGTTATCATTACATAGGAGAAATTAAGGCAAGGGCTGTGACTGAAGGACCTGTAAAATGGTCTGTTCTGATGTCCAGGTTATTTATATTTAATCTTGCATTTTTCTGTACGAGCAAGCAGGTTAAATTGGGTTTGATGTCTTTTTGGTTGGATTCTAGCAGTTATGCAATAGAGTTGATGTCTATAAACAGTTCCTCTTCTGCTGCCACTATTTACTTTGGCTCATGCATATCCCTTACAGTTTAATTTCCTGAAAATAAAAGGAAAAAAAAATATAGGTTACATTAGCATGAAATCATTTTTTTGAGTGACTTCTTTAGTTGGAATAGTGATAACAGTAAAGTGTACTGGTTAAAAAAGACCAATCTGTACAACTCTAATTTGTCAGTGAAATAAATCATAGTTTTATTATTATTTTTAAATGTAGTCTTTTTAAAACTCAGATTAAGCAATCACTTTTTCAAAATCAAAAATACACTTTAAAATGAGAAGGTCCTCCGTGTGTACCTGTGGATAAACTCAGAAAAAAATGGTAAGTGAGGATTTAAAGTGAAAGATTGGAACATTAAGTGTAAGCAGGAGTATCCAGCTGCACAGTGAAAGGACTTGAGCACTGTTTCATGCAGGACTGATTTTCTACTATGTAATCCAGCTTTAGATAGATAAGATAGAAATATTGACTCTAAACTGATGTCTTTGCATGTTTCCAGATACATAATTTTCCGCGGTAGTACCAGGAGATATAATGTAAAATAAGATGTTGCTAACTTAGGAGAACTGAACAGTCTCCTGGTAATGCTGCTAACGTAATTACTGCAATAAGACAGGGCCAAGCTGCCTTGAAAAGCCTCTTAAACAAATATGAAAGCGTGGTGGTGATACAGAGAAAGCAGTCAGCTGCAGCTTAGCAGACTGAGCAGCAGGAGTGGTTTTCAGATGGTGAGTCATGTCACCCTCCCATGCCATCCACTCACATTTATCATGCTCCATCACATGAGAGGACAAGACTGTGGTGCTACGTAGCCCCTTGCCTGAGGCTTAGTTAAAGTCACAGTGTAAAGGATTTTTTTAATCAGATCTTGCAGTAAAAATGATGATATGAATGCACTTTGTAAAATGTACTGTGTAAATATAGAAAAACTTTAATTTCACAGAGTTTTAGGTAATTTATTTTGTTTAGCTCTTCCTGTCGCCGAAGTCTGGAGAAAATCACCTGCTGACTTCCGTGGTGTGGGAGCAGGCCCCAAAACAGGAACACTGCAAATTGAAACGCGCACAAATACCACGCTGGTCTCCTTACGCGTGCTTGTATCACTCCACTGATTACATGCAAAAACTTTTTGAAGGTGTTCCACTTATAGATGATACACTGCAGGCCGTTGTGCATTGCCTCAGAAAGCTCAGCAGCAGATCTGTGCCATACAGCAGCATGAAGAAGAAAGAGCCTGACATAAAAGTGAAAGAGCATGAAAGAAAGGAGAGCAGTAATGAGCTAAATATGTGTCTTAACTTTGCTGTGGACATGCACTCATTTTCTCTTGGCTTCCCCTCCAGAATAACCCACCTGATGTCAAGTAACTGGCACAAGGAATGGTTTAAAGATGGATCGGCATCAATGACTCTTGTAGCTGTCTATGATTATCTGTCACACAGATGTTCCAGCTTGTATTTGCTTGCTAGCAGCCAGCCAAGCAGCCAGACCTGCCTTTCTTTTCTTTCTTGAGGAGTGCAGAGGGCTCGCCCACGGATGTTTAACTAAGCGACAGTGAGGAGTGTAGCCGAGCTGCATACAGGCAGTGAGCTTCAGTGCCTTCTTCGTCAGCGTCATCCCCTGAGAAACAACTGGAAAAGATTTATGGGTTTGATCTGAGAAATTTTCCAGATGCTGTTTAATCAAGGGAAACAGTCTGCATTAGCTGCAGTAGGATTCCCCAGTTTAGAGCATGCCACCTGCAGCATGCAGGCTACACGTGTTGTGATTTGCCAGTTACTACAGTAATGAAAGGGGATTTCGTTGTTTGTTTCTTTCTAGTTAGGCATTAAACTCCCATTACTCCCCAAAAATGAAGGTTTGCTGTGACCAAACCTGTAGACTTCCACTGTGGAATTTGTTGGTGCACTGATGTGAGGCGCATGCATCGGAGCATCAACTGGAACTGCACAAACAGATCTTTCAACTCTTCTCGTTGACTTTGAGGGAGTTCCTGAATCCAGCTGTAGCTTCTTGACGTAGTTTACATGACAACCCTGCCCTTCACTAGGGTGGCATTTTTCTGTGTGCATTAGCAAGCAGAATGAAACTAGAGAGTCAGCGGTTTGTGACAGAAGTAGCTGTACTGAAGCCATCCAGTAACTCAGCGTATAGCACCAGCTAAAACTCGGTTTGAAAGACTTGGTAGTCGGGAGAGGAGGCAGATGGGAAGAGGAACGTATGTAAGAGCAATGGAAAAAGGTGGGGTTTTTTTGCCCTCTCGGTGTATTTGGCCTTGGTGATACAAATCAGTATTTGCTTGAAATCAAGTGGGCCAGTTGAATAAATGATAATTACTCACTTGACCCTGCAGATACCTAGTCACATGTCTGATCTGCATGCCTTTCAACAAAGTGGGGATTTTTTTCAGTTTTGGCTTTTTGGATTACATTTGGACTGTTTTGGAATACATTTGCTGCATCTTAAATAGTAAAACGTAAACAGTACTTGATTGTAACACTGAGGTATCTGGCACCTCAGCAAAGGTTAACAATAGCAGCTGATGGAGTAAAACCAGTGTTGTCTGGGTGGCTGTGTCCTATCGTCACTGCTGAAGCAGGGGTGCCGGTACCGTGCACGAAAAAAGCTGAAGTCTTGCCAGTCACGCACAGACAGGGTTGCAGTCACATTGTGCCACAGGAGAGGTGTCTGACAGCAGCGCTTTGTCACCGCTCCTTTGCGGACGTTTAGTGCCTTGATACTTTAATTGATAGAGAAGCTTGTGTGAATATTCCCTAATTTACTTGTAGCAAAATATTAACCAGATTAATAGTTTTCTTACTTCTTAGAGTTCTTTTGTTGCTTTGTGTTGTGAAAAATGATCTGTAATATAATTAAATTTCTGCTTTTATGTTTGAAGAGTATGAAGGGAGACTAATTTCTCTTGATTACCAGCTGTAACAGATGTGTAATGTTTTCGTTATTCTGCCTTCCTTTTACTTTAGTATTACTGTATAGCGCAGTCTACATAGATGGTATTTTCTCCTGCAAAATAACAAGTAACCTTTTGCTTAGGAACTGTGGATGTTTTTTCCCTGTACATTAATAATTTAGCAATGCATAGCTACCTGCGTTTGCTGCGGAAGCTTTAATTTTGTTGCCACAAGTCTAGCCCTTCTTGGTCTTGGCGTCGGGAAAGGGAGTCAGTAACTGTTCCCCCCCTTCTCTTTGCAGATGCTCTCGAAGTCCATTGAGCAGCTCAAGCAGCCTGGCAGTCAGCTGGAGGAAGCCGAGGAAGAGCTTCCCGGCGACCACTCGATGCAGGAGGAGCGAGCTCCCGCCGGCGCTGCCAGTGTTAGGGCCGCGAGCAGCGGTGCTGGTGCGGATGACAGAATAGGACCGCAGGCGGGGGCTGTGAAAGTCAAGGAGGAGCCGCCAGACAGCGATGAGGATGTTCAAACCCAGCAAATGGAATCTGGGGAGCAAGCTGCTTTTATGCAACAGGTAATAGGCAAAGATCTAGCTCCAGGGTTTGTAATTAAGGTGATTATCTGAACATCACGTGCTTTTTCTAGGCTTTGATAAGCGATTGTGTTTTGATTCACTGATCTAGCAAATCCTGATTTACTGTTCAAAGAAGCTAACAAAGGCAGAAGTGTTGTATGAACGCCTGAAAACATAGTGAAGCTCATCCTTACGGCCACTAATTGAGAAAATACCTGTTGCAGTCAATTATTCTACATAAATCTTTGCGTAATAGCTGATAGGCTTTGTATTAGCCCAGGATTACATTACATCGCTTAGTTCTAGTGAAAGAGAACACGTATCACCTAGCTTGTTGAGATCAGCAATTACTGGAATTAGTTTCCAGACCTGATTGATGAGACATTCTTCTTCTCTGATTTTTGAATCCTCTGGCTTTTGCTTTCAGCTACCTGTATATACTGTATCATACTGTGGTCTTGAACACTGTTAACGTTAGGGTATTTTTTCCCTGGTAGACAGGTACTGACTGCTATATGAGTGGTCCCAGGCTGGTGTATAAAGTATAATTGCGAGAAGAAGACAAGGTGGATGTAAAAAGGCAAGGCAAGGCACTGTTTAAAAATTGGATTGTTTTCTTTTTTTGCACTGCTTAGTTAATTTTTCGTTCTGTCTTATCCGATGATACTGTCCACAGAGACATCCTTAAATGAAGCAGATGCAAGTACTGGCGAGAAGCAAATCGCCGCACTAGGTTCCAACCAGTTATTAGGATATCACAAGAAAAGCACAGAACTGTTCTCATTACCAGCCGATATCCAGTCACCTGTTTGTTTCTTTTTAAATAAAGTCTAATCATATAATGCCGCGTAACCTTTACCGCGAGGTCTCACGGACAAATACTACAACAACTGTGCGTAAAATGCTGCTTTGGCGAATGGAAACTGCAGATCGTGGGCGAGCATTTCGCCCAAACGGAGACGCGCAGCGCGTGCGCGCAGCCGACGCGCAGCGTCCCTTCGCCTTGCCGTGAGATCAGGCAGAGCGGGCTGGGCACAGTGCAAGGCCCTGTTTATTTAAAGTCTCCACTTTC